TTTTTGTCTTGTAGATAACACTGTTTTAAATAAAGTTCTTAGTAACCTTATAACTAAAAAGACTTAGGAAGAAAATTAAACCATCTTTTAATAATAGCATTCTATAAAAACACATGGGTCAATAAACCTAATTATAAAAGAGTTAAATGTAAATTACACTCATGGTAGAATAAAACAGGTCGAGATTATTGGTTATAAAATTCTTTTTCGTTTTAAGATGGAGAATAATTAGGCCTGGTTGGGATTAGAACTTTAGATAACCTTTGAGACAGTTATGCACATTAACTTTATAAAAGAGCTTAAGAACCATCCTAAAGACATCTAAACACACACAGACACACAGATGTTACGACCTAGGCATGCCAAAGAATATAATCACATGTATGAGTTCAAGAAAGTAAAAATGAAGTGGCCACAATTGGTGGGAGATAAAGACACACAGAAAACACACAATGACACACAAACAATCACATTAATTTAGTGTGCCCTTAAACCATTTCTTTGTCATTATTTTTAGAAGATTAGTCAGCCAGACTCCTAAGTAGTTTATAACAGATCTTTAACATAAATACTCTCTCCTTTTGGCCCAATCCTTAACAGATTAATGCAGTAAAAACAACATGTATGGAAATTATATTGATCTACAGAATTTTAACCACAAGTTAGTTATAAATTTCCTAGAATAAGGCAAGATGTCATCACCCATGAGTTTCCTATTCCTAGGGAGTGGCAAGATGGTGCTGGACACATGGTGGCTCCTTCATGGTGGCATTTCCTATGACCACATGGTCTCTCCAAAGGGTCTTTCAAATGGAACACAAAGATATGTTACATACAACACACAGGCTCAAAATAGCAGTCTACCATAGAGGTAAAAGATATCTCCCCCTGAGAGACAGCTGTCCAGGAGGTAGGCATGCTAATGAAAAGGCCAGATAAATTGAAGCAAGCTAAGGTGGGATTTAAAAGGTTTTGTTAGTGTCTAGTTTACTCCAGGTGTTTATAATTCGATCCTGGACCTCCTCATAAGGGAGCTTTGTGATCACCTAGAAAGCCAAGAATCCAAACCCTGTGGAGCCCAGCCACTTACAGAGCTACAGTTTGGAAAGGACCTTAAACAAGTTCAGAATCTGACATGCTGCACTGAGCAATAGAGAACATTTTTATTAATTTTAAAACAAAAATAATTGTTAAGAATAAAACCTCTAATTAAATTATCTATTTAAAATGTCCACATAAAAAACCCATTTTCTTTAACCTCTTGGCTGTAAGCCTAATTTTATCAGCACAGAACAGTTAAAGTTTTGTAAGAAAATACAAAACAAAACCAATGATTAATTAGTACCATTAAGTTCTCTTTATCTTAAGTACATGTCTAAACCTCATATTCTAGTGTTAAAAAAATGACGTCTTATCAATAGAGTAATTTTGCCCTTAGAGTAAATGAATTATACTTTATAAGTGACCAATATCTAATTCTTAATTAAATGGTGCTGTTTCTACTTAGAGAATTTAAGTACATTTACAGCAACAAACAGCCGTGGGGCCTGAGGTGCCAGGATGGCAGCAGGCTGCATAGACTGGCTGGCTAGGTGGTGCTTTTTAGGCCCATGCTGAGAAGTGGCAGGGCTGGTGTGTCAGCCAGTGCTGAGAGGCAGGGATGGCTCCCAAGCAGGGAGCCTCAAGCTTCCAGGCTGGTGCTGATAGGTGGGGCCAGATTCTTGGGCACAGGCGTGTCCCTGGTTCCTCTGAGAGGCATAGGTAAATGGAGGGGAGAGGTGTGCCACAGGAAGAAATCACCTTCCAATTCCACTAATCTGTTTAAGATTAGGTAGCCAGAACCCAGATGCCATCACAGGAAATTTTAAAGTCAGCCTAAATTTACTCTAAAGCCTAATTTACTTTTTACCCTAGAGCAATCCACATCTTAAACAACTGTGTTTGGAGCAGGGAGGTTTTTACAAGTGAATTAAAAACAAAAACCCAAACTGAGATGCTAGGCAGAGCAAAAGCTAGGAATTTTAAACAGAAATTCTACATCCATTAAAGAAGGAACCAGTAGAATACTAGATGTCTCTCTTAACATGACAATGGCACAGACTCAGAAAACCACCCCAGCGTCCTAAAACTTGACCTCATTGTTCTTATTTTAGAGACAAGGCCTGAGGCTGGTCAGGTGGGGCGTGCCCTCTCACTTGGCAGGCCACCATGGCTGAGGGCCCCATTGTTAGCTTGCTTCCTGGGCCAGGTGGCTGCCTGGGCTTGAGACTTAAAAAGGGAGCCAAGGGGAGGGAGAGGATGCAGATAGGAAGAGGCGGTTTGGTTAGACATGGGACCTTGGTCACCAGAGGTGACATCTCATCCACCTTGTCCCTGGCATCCCCACTGGCGGTGGATCTTGCTTGCCTTTGCATTTCCTCTCTCAGCCAGCTGCTGGACAGAGGCTGCCGGCCCATGCAGGGCCCCAAGCATACACACTGGTGCTGCCCCCCTTTGTATGCTACAGCCATGGCTGTAACTATTTGAGCACATATGCCACCACCACTGCCTCCACAGTCATGGTTATGGTCACGGTCACGCCCCATGGCTGGCACTGAAAAGTAGGGTGGGGCCTGATCCATGGGTACGCCTGAGGGGAGGGATTGGAGGATTGCACCCCATGGCCACAGGCCTGGAGGCCCTGCTAAATGGTGCCAGACATCTGGGGGGCAGTTCTGTGCCAGCAGCAGTAGGCATTTTGGGGTCCTGAGCCAGCAGCGGCTTACTCTGGCCCTCCAGAGGCATGGCTTCCAGGGTGGGACTTTGGGTCTCTAGAGGCATGACTTCTGGAGACAGGACTTTCATCCACCCCAATCCAGCCATCTGGGAAACCATGCGTGGATGTTGTAAACCATGGGTATGGATGGGTACCTTGAGTGGCCAACTGAGTAACCATGTGTGGGCATCGTGGCAAACTGCAGGTGTAGTTTTCTCCAATGGCCAGCTGGGAAGGTGTGTGGCCTGTGCCATGTTGTGTGTACCCGCCCCAAAGGGTGTACCAGGCAGCCGTGTGTGCACACCCGTTCCCAAGCACCAGTGGTGGCTGCTTGGGATGCTGCGCTTGGATGGGGCAGCAAGACTTCATTCCCTTTACTGCTATGGTGTTGCCTGATAGGTGTAAGGCCTGTCACTCTATGTACCACCTCCCTGCCCCAGGGGGGCGGGGGTGACTGCAAGGGGCATGCAAGCCTCCCAACCTGCAGGTAGCAATTCATTTGCTTCCTGTCTGTATGGCTCCCTCCACCATTTTTGAGCAGCCATGCTTTCCCAGGGCAGACTTTTTTTTTTTCCTTAAAAACAACCTGTTGCTGGATGGGCTGAAGTGTGCCTCCCATCTGTTGTTTTAAAACTGCAGGTTGGAGGGAGAAAGAAAAGAACAGAAAGATGGGGAAGAGAGCGGAGCTCAGCCCAAATGGCAGGGGCATTTCTAATTGTCCCTGGTCATGTTGGGGGGGTCAGAGACCTTGGAGTAGGGTCTCCCACAATGCAGTGAAGGAAAGGATGGGCGAGGGGATTGAGGGTTAGGGAGGGTAGGGTTGGGGAAGGGGCAACTAGCTTTTAACATGGTCCATCCCCTGGGGCAGGACCAGGGAACCCCGACATGAACCCTGTCCTGTGCCTTGGGCACTTGCAGGAGCTCCTGAGTCCTGATGGCAAATGTTGCATCCTGCCAATCATTGTGCAGTCCATCTATGCCAGGGCTCCAAAAAAGCCCTGAGTATCTGGTGAATGCCCCAGCGTGAGGGTCCCCTACCATCCAAGCCATAAGTGGCATTTAGTTCTGAAGCATCAGTTGGTCAAGCGAGGTACCAGAGGACAGAGAAAGGTGCGTTAAAATAAAGATTGGCAGAGATAGCATATTGGGATCTTGCTGGTCACTTTCTCCTGGCTGGCTCACCAAATGTTTCCTGCGCTGGTGCAGTCTGTGATCAGAAGATCCTGGTTTTTGTGCTCCAAATGGAAAAATCCAAGCAGAGCACATAGATGGGGTGAGGTAGGATAGCTTTATTGGGGGAAGAGGAGTCACCTGTTCTGCCAGGTGAGGAAAGGGAAGAAGAAGGGTGGGCACGGGTGGAGTCTGCCGGCAGAGAGAGAGAGAGAGCTTTTCCTTTTAGGGTGCCTTTAAAACCTACACTACCGCATGGGAGGGCAGACCCGGGAGGTTCCCACCCAATAATGAACAAGTGGGAAAGGGGCATGGGCAGTTTCCAGCCAGGTGAAGGTAGTGGCCCCATTCCCAGGAAATCTACATGAGCCCAATGTTAGCCTGCCTCAACTCTGCTGTCTCCTGCACCCAGGTTGAAGTTGGAGCAGTCTGTACAGGATCTATGCCTCAGCCAAGGTTCTGGAGCCAAGCAGGCCCAATATGGGGGCTAGCAGCAGCATTAGGCTGTCTGGTAGCACGGCAGTTAAGGGCTCACACTGAGCCAGACAGGCCTATTTCTCCCAGCTGCTTCTCTGTTGGTCTCCAGCCTCAGTTTTGTGATTTTGGGCAGAGTGATTACCCTTGTGTAGGCCTCGCTGTGTCTCACGGAATGTGCATCTGTGTTATGCCAAATGGCTGTTGAGGACTGAAAGACTTTTAGTGCCAAGCCTGGTGTCAGTGCTTATAGTAGCTGAGGGCTATTGGAAATCACAGCAGTGATGCTGATTTTGTTACCTATCCTGCCAGGCATGGTGGCCCACATCTGTAATCCCAGTTACTTGGGAGGCAGAGGCAAAGTCAGGGAGATCTTACCTCTAAAGCAAAACAAAAACAAAAGGGCTGGGAGCATAGCTCACATAACAGAGCACTTAAAGCATAAGGGCCTGGGTTCAATCCCCAGTACCACAAAACACACACACACACACACACACACACACACACACACACACACACAGAGGAGAGCAGGGCCATAGCTATGCTGCATGGCCTTCTGCCATCAAGCAGCCAGTTCATAAAGCGTAAGGGCCTGGGTTCAATCCCCAGTACCACAAAACACACACACACACACAGACACACACACACACACACACACACACACACACACACACACACACACACAGGAGAGCAGGGCCATAGCTATGCTGCATGGCCTTCTGCCATCAAGCAGCCAGTTCAGCTCCCAGAAGAGGAAACGGAGGCCCAGGGAGAAGGAACCTGGCCAAGGCACACAGGGAGTCCATGCTAGGATGGGGCAGACCCCAGCTAGACTCCTGGAACCAATGCATGCAGTGTCCTGGTGCTCACAAACCCCGCACACATACCCCACTCTGCAGAAGGTGGATGGTAGGTGGGTCATCTGCCCAGAACAGTTGGAGGGACCTGGCCCAGAGAAGGGTTCCCATCTAGCCTCTGTCCCCATTCCTGATACCCAGTGTGGGTAGGTCCAGGCCGCGGGGACCTGGATGACTGGTGCTTAAGCAGCCCCAATTAGGCAGCCCTTATTATGGCCCTGGGATAGTGAAGCCCAGGACCACTGCCAGCCGCATCTCTCAAATGTTCACTGTGCTTTTGCCTCCTTCGATGCTCTCTTTGGGGATGAACCAGTTCAAGGTCACTATTGGGTCCCAGTCTAGCTCTCTCCACTGGCTGCTGCTGCCTGGGCTTTGGTGCTTCCAGGACACCTCTACCATCCTTGCACTGTTTGTCAAGGCCTTGGTCCTTACCTGCGAAATGGGCATGATTTCCTCTCCCTCCTGACAGGGCTATTGTGAGACCCAAGTCAGTGAGATCAGAAAGGCCTTTTGTCACATACTGTAGAACTGGAACCCCAGGTTTCCATGGCTTTGCTGTGTGACCACGGGCAGGTCACTTCATATCTCTGTGCTGCCTGCTTACAAGGATATTGTGAGCCTTCCAACAGATACAGAACATAAACAAATGCTCTCCACACAGCCAGTGCCTGGTAAGTGCTGAGCCCCCTGGGCAGGCCATGGGTGTGTGAGATGGAGCCAGGACCATGGCCACTGCCCAGCCACCTTGATCTGTCCCCAATCACACTGCCAGGGAAGAGCCGGGAAGGAGTTCCACCTCAGCCCCTGTGGAGGAAGCCAGCCGGGCTCGGAAGGCTGGTGACAAACAGAAGCACACCAGGCTCTGGGCATGACAGCTCTGCCCTGCCCTGCCCTGCCAGGGTCCCTGAGAGTCGGGGGAGGAAACCAGAAGGAAAACAGGAACTTCAAAGCAAGCCACAGCTGAGACACCATCTGTGTTTTCTTTTTGTTTTTCTTTCTCTTCGTTTTAAAAACAATATAGTGCAGACTGCACTTCTCACAGTAGAATATAATGGTCGATTTTAGTATAAAAAACATTCTCAGAGATTTGTAAATGCACTTAGTGCTTGAACAGGCCTTGGGGAGAGATACAGTACCGCTTCCAGAGTGCCAGAGGACAGGCCTTGGGGGATGGCAGGCTGTGGGGACCCCTGCCTACCTTCCCCCCACACCCTCTGTGACAGTGTGGGCCAGGCTTTGGAGAGTGGTTTGCAGAAGGCGTTGGATTGGATCTCCCAATTAAAACCAGTAGGCCGCCTCTTCACTGGCTCCCAGGAGTCCCCACACAGACACCAAAGGAGGCAAGGTGGGGTACCTCCAAATAGCTCTAAGTCTGCAGGCCTACTGTTGGCCCCCGTGGCGCCTTTGTGCGAATAGGAAAATGGTGCCCCTTTCTCAAGATGTGGAAAATTGAAATAAATACACAAGTCTAGGATGCAAGTTGTGTCTCCTTAGACAAGGTGCCCTCGAGCAGTGCACCACCAGCACAACTGTGCTCAGAAGCTCTGTAAGATGTATTGGAGGGAAGGGGGAAAATGGTGGCCTAGGATGTACAGAATGGGGTATGATTCTGTGTCAGGACGGACCGGGTAGGGGGAGAGTCTAGAGGAGGAGAAACGGGAACTGGCAGTTCTGTGGTCTCTAAGACTCCGGGGAGTGGGGGGGCAGGGTAGTCTTCACTTGGATTGGTTGGTGGGGGGACACTTTGGGCCAATCACTTTCTATAGGCCCCCTTTGCTCCCTTTCCAGGAGACTGGGGGCTTGGCAGGAGACCCAGTGTGTGACTCCTACCCGTTTTCTCTTACATCCCACCCTGGCCTGAGTGCCTCTGCTAGAGACCCAGAACAAACCGTTCCTGTGTTTAAGTGGCATCTCTCTCCCTGCCTCTGTGTCACTGGCTGAGCCCAGGTCCTCCCTGTGTCCTGGGGCAGCTGGTGAGGGGGAGGGGCCTTGCTGTGCAAAAGGTCACCCTGCACCCCTAACCCCCGCAGTGGCCAACCTGGCTTCCCTTAGGCATTCGTGGGCAGAGGGTGTGAGCCACCCACCCCATTCTGTGGCCTGCCTCTCCTGGTGCTGTGTCCATCTGTCCATCTGTCCACCAGGCAGACCTTATCTGTAGACAGGCAGGCGGATGTGGGCGTGCTGGTGGTCAAGCAGTCGGGGCACAGCCACGGTCTCATAGCCCTTGCCTAGCATCTGCTCCTTGATGCAGGGTGGCCGGATGTCGTTGATGAGGTACTCCAGCGACTGTAGACTGCTGCTCAGCACTGATGTGTTGCACATGCTCTTGCTGGGCAGGCCCACGAGAGTGTCCACGGGAGGCCCTGCCAGCTCCCGGGCGGCCCCCGGTCCCAGCTCTGTCACTGCCACTGCAGCTGCCGGATTGTAGCAGTCACTGGTTGGAGTCACCAGCACGCTGTTCCAGGGGGCAGCAAAGTACTGGCCCACGGTGAAGTTTGCAGGCAGCCCCACACCACAGTTGAGGGGTGACCCACTGGCCCGCTCATAGGCCCGCCCACCACAGGCCTCTGGGGATTTGCTGGCCACAGTGCTACCACTATAGGCGCGCAGTGGCTGGGGTGGTGGTGGGGGTGGTTTCTGTGGCCACAGCAGATAATCCAGGCCGCTATCTGCATATCCTGTAGGCTTGGTAGCTCCAGCCAATGCCAGGGCTGGTGTGGCTCCCTGGCCCAGCTCTGCTCCTTTCCGGCAGTCGGGCAGCCCGGCAGTGGCCGAGTAGGCCATGCTGGGGAAACTGGGCACTGGACCATGCTTTGCTGGACTGGGATGGGGGATGGCCATGCCCTGGCAGGCAACAGGTGCAGCGCCTGGGGCCTGACACTGCTGGTTGAGCTGGTAGAGGATGCTGTGGATGGAGGGAAGGTTGGAAGGTGGTAGAGGCAGGCCCCGGCCTGGCAGGGGGATGACGGAGGTGGCAGCAGCAGCTGCGGGTAGGCTGGGTGGTGGGGCAGGAGCCTCAGGTGGCTTGGGGTAGGCCAGGGGCCCCAGAGTGCTGGGTGCTGGGTAGGGTGCAATGCCCACCTGCACGGTAGCCGGTGACAGCTTGGTCCGCTTGCCCTCGGCACTCTTGAGCACACTTTTGGCAGGCCCAGTGGGTGCGGCCACACTTGAGGAAGAGACTGCGGCCTTGACGATGGCCAATAGGCCCTGGTAGCCGGTGGTGTGCTGTGGGTAGGGGCTGTAGCGCTGGCCACTAGTGTCGTAGCCATTGACAGTGCGGCCAAGGTGCTTGTGCTGGGGCACGCGGATGTTGGTGGGGAAGATCTTGATGGACAGGGGGCTGTTGGCCACCTTCTCGGCATAGGCATCCAGCTCAGCCGGGCTCGGGTAGCGAGAGGAATGCATAGAGCTGGCCACCGACTCGCCTGTGGGGACAAAAGCATGGGTAAGAGCCAAGCCAGTGGCCATACAGCAACTGCTCCCCACGAGGACTCACAGAGCTGCCCAGCTCCCTCCTTCCTTTCTTCCTTCTGAGTTTCCAAGCTTTGGATTAAAGTGTAAAGTTCAGAAAGGAAACTGCATACATTATTGGCTTGATAAGCCTTCACAAAAGGAACCCACCTAGACCAGGAGAAGGCACTGCCAGTCCCCCAGAGAGCCCTGTGTCCCCTCCCAGTTCCCCGCCATGTCCAAGTTCACTGCAGTCCTGACTTCTAACAACAAGGACAAGTTGTGCCTGGATTCTATACATGGTGAGACGGAATCCTACACTGGCTGCTCATTGGGACTGGCCTGGCACTTACTGCTGGGTATGGGACATTCATCCATAGTCCTTCTATGGAGGAGGGGCTGTGGGTCACTGATGAGCAGACCCCTCCCCCCCTCACAAAGGCCCTGCCCAGTCATGAGCCCCCAACGGGGTAATGATAGCGCCAGGTCTGCAGGGTGACCTTAAGGACCGATGATACCAAGGGGCCCGGAGGAGTGAGGGCACAGCAGGTGTTGGGAGACTGTAACTCCTGGGGGGCTGAGGACAGGGGCTTTACCACTCTAGACCTAGCTTCCTCATCTGTAAAAGTGGGTGCTCCTGTTGCTAACACTGCCTCCCAGAGTGGCCAAGGGAGTTGTGTGTGTGTTTACCCTCCCTCCGGCCTGGGGCTGGGGCCTCACTGGAGAGGAAGGGGCAAGGGGCTTGGGCCACCCCTCCGATAGGCAGAGGGATTTTGCTGGTCCTTGGATTGCTTCCTGATTCTTCTAGAGCTTCTGAGCCACCACCTCAGGAGCTCACAGCCAATCTGACTGAAGTACGTGCTGTGCATGGGAGCTTCACCGGGGCTACAGGACTAGCTTTCTGCCCAATTAAGTCCTAACGCCAGGTAGGAGAGAGGGCTGGGGGGAAGTCTGACAAGGGAAGGAAGATGCGGATTTCAGGCAGTGGATGCAGTCGGGCAGAGGTGAGGAAGAGTGGCCTGGGTGGCCCTGTAAATAAATACCTCAGGATTGAACAGGTGCAGAGCAGCTTGCTCAGGAGAGGGAATCAGGGGAAGCAGCCCAGAAGCCTTGGGCCAGCACAGAGGGGCCTCTGCAGGGTAAGGCAGCTTCTTCTCACGCACAGGGCACACTGGCAACATGTGGAGACGTGCTTGTCACATGGGGTGAATACACTCCTGGCCTGAGTATGGGCCTGGACACTGCTGAATACTTCACAGTACACAGGACGGACCATGAGGAGCCATCTGCTCTGGTAGTAGGGCCTTCCCAGTGGAGAAGCCCCATGCAAGGCATAGGACAGCCACAGCAGGCCTTGTGCAGGGGCATGGCAGCCATGTCCCTCCATCCCTCTGGCCTAACCTGGGCCGGGAAGGTGAGCCCATCATGGGCCCCCACCCTGACCCTGCCTGGGGCACCCCCCTCTTAAGTGGCCTAAAATAAATGCGGTGTGGAGAATGGAAATGTCACTTTGGCCAATGGGGGAATCTTTCTCTGAGATTGGATTTAAACTACATTATACAAGCAATTTCATGGGCATTTAGCGCCGCTCGGAGAGTCCCGCAAAAAAGGGACCAGCTCTTCATTTGCCAGCCATAAATCAGCAGTTGCTATAATGAGCACAAAAATGTCACTTTTATGCAATTTTACAGATGAACAAAACTGGTGAAATTAGCTGTGGTAACCTACTAGACTCAGCAAAAGCAGCTGCTGGGGAAAAAAATTATATCTGTGTGCATTTTCGTTCCTCTTAAAACTCTCTTCCCAAGCAAGTTTCTGCCATTGTGGTGTGAAAACTCATTTGTCCTCACCATTATACTTTCATTTGGAGTTTATCTTGAGTATCCAATGAGCCACCAACTGTGAAAATGATTAAATCTACAAAATCTATCTAATGGATGGAATAAATTAGGTGTTTAAAACCCTAAGAAAGAAAGAAAAAAGGTGCCTGTGCTGTCTCCCTCCCTTGAAGGAAGCAGTATCTTGCCCCTGGATGGTCAGCTGGGCTCCTCAAGGGTGGCCAGCTTTCGGAGGAAATGGTGGTGGCATCAGAACGTGGTGCCACCTGGAACGTGCTTAGTTAACACCAGGCTCCACGCCCACTGGCAACTCTGAGAGACGGAACGCTGTCCCCACTTTACAGACAAGAAAATAGGTTGTGACATTTGGCAGCCAGCCTCCAACACTGGCCTCCCCCGCAGTGGTTTTGTTTTTTATTTTGTTTTGTTTGACACAGGGTCTCACTATGTAGCCAGGCTGGCCTCAAACTCATGACTCTCCTGCCTCAGCCTCCTGAGGGCTAGGATTATAGGGCTGTCCTACCACTTGAGCCACACCACCAGCCCTTTTGCTTTTAGTTCATTTTTCCACAGGGTCTTGTGCTTTTGCCCTGGGGAGGGAGGGACCACAGTCAGCCCAGGGACTTCAAGAGGCAGGGAAGTGGCCCAGTTTGGGCACCTGTCACTGTTGCCCCAACCTCTGTCTTGCCCCTAGAGACAACAATGGCCTCTGAGCCAAGTGCCACCTGGAGCTGTACTGGTGACAGGGCTCTCTGTGTTCCTTAGTGTTCTGAATGTGAGTGCCTTTAGGTGGACACACTACCGGGTCCCCAGAGTCTCTGGTGATCATAGGGCCCCCGTAGGCCTTTGGGAAGGCAGCCCCTGCCCTATGCCTTCTTCCCTGAAGCACTTTTTCCTGGCTCACCTCTGGGTGCTATAGATGCAGTCATTCCAGTAGAGTACAATGGGCATGGCTCAGGGGTCCAGTGGGTGAAGGCCCTAGATCCTCCCCAGAAGGGACCTGCTGGGGGTGCTCAGTGCCACTGAACATGTGAGGACATAGGTAAAGGCTCCCCGGAGGGGCCTAGGAGTCCACTGTCACAGGTGGGCTTCTTAGCAGAAGTGAGGATTTGGGGCAGGTACATGACCTCAGTAGGGAACACCAGGTCCAACCTGAATGCTGTTCCCTCCCCACCTGCCCTGACTCTCCCAGCTGGGCTGGAGGCCCCAGGGGGGCTTCAGTCAGCACTTGGGCTGCATTGCTCACGCTCTGCACAGCTATGGCTTGTCCTCACTTGCCAGACTTGGGCTCCCTAGGCTGGCATGTGCACTTTGGGTCCCCACTGCCCACAAGACAGAGTAGATGCTGAAAATGCTGTAATGAATGAATCTGTCGAGCCTGGAGCCCCAGCTCACTGCCAGTCTGAAAGCTGGGAGCAAAGCCTCTCTCCAGCCCCACACCTGCCGACCATTGCCTGAGCGCTTCCACACAGGTGCTGTACTGGGCCTTGGTGATGCAGCAGTGATCAAAGTCAACAAGATCCCTTCCCTCCTGGAGCTGACACACGGTAAGGGGTAGGGAGGCAGCAACAAACCCCAGACACAGGAAGGAAGCAGGTGTAATGGTTTGAAAAACCCACAAATTCTTCCACACGACTCCCACAAATAGCAGTCTTATTTTCCTTCATTTGATGTGCACTAGCCTAGCAACTCGATTCTGTTGAATAGGATGCAGAAGTGACACCCTGTTTGACTTCCACCTGGAATGCTCTCTCTGGGCATCCATCCTTGGAACCTGGACACACGGAAAGGCCACATGTAGATGTTTCAGTGACCACAAGCATCATCCACCGGACACATATGAGCAAGAAAGTATTCAGAAGATAGCAGAACTCCACCTCCACCCCCTGGGACATCATGGAGCAGAGACACACCATCCTCACTGCTCTCTCCTTATTCCTGAGCATAACAAGTAGCTATTTGACACTAAAGTTTGGTGATGATTTGCCTTACTGTCACAGGAATGGGAACAGCAAGGCAGGTGAACCATGAGTGACAGGATGGAGGGGTGCCTAGTTTGGACACAATGGTCACTGAGGAAAGTGCTCTGAGAAGTGGCCTTTGAGTAGGAGAAGAAGAGGACATTAGGCTCTGGGGGCCTAATGCAAGTACAGAGGTCCTGTCATGTCGGGAAAGCAGAGTTGGGGGTGATAGTGGAACACGGATGGCAGAGGTGGGGGGCATGCAGTATAAACCTTTGGGCTTTAGGGTCACTGTACAACCTGGGCGTGTGTTCCATGTAGGAGGTTCAGAGTGGAGCTGGGGAGAGACTCCATCTGGCTTAGGAGATGTCACAGGAAGATTCACATGATGGGGTAGAAAGGGGATATCGGAATGGAGGCAGCCCAGAAGCACCCATGGGCCTTTACAAGCAGGAGGATTTGAAAGGTATTCAAAGCAACATTTTCTTAGACTTCAGGAATGCGGGTGGTACAATAAGTGGGATGAGGAGGTTACAAAGTATGCTGTCCCATGCCAGCCCTGTCTGTCTGTCTCCTTCCTTCTCTAAGGGAACAGAACCAAGACTTGGAGGAAAAAAAAAAAAAAAGCCTTGAATGCCAACAGAGGGAAGGGCATGGGGATGGCAGGGGAATTTTATTTCCTCTTTGCTTTTTTGTAATTGCCAGTGCTGAACTGGGATGGGGGATGGGCATGCATCTCCCAGCCCTCCTTGGGTCCTTGGAGAGCCTAGAAAGAGTGGCTGTACTACAGCTAGGCAATCATCCTCTTCCCTGGCCTGCCTGCAGACTGCTGGTCTCCCCAGCTCCCACCTGCATTCCTTGGGCAGTGTGAGCTCCTGGGCAGAGCAGAGGCTGCAATGAGCAGCCCTGGAACATCTGGATGTGGGGAGGGGTTCTGAATCACAGAACTGGTTCAAATCCCAGCTCTACCTGGGAGCTGTGCCTTCAATGCCTGTCCTTGGACCTGCTTTCTCTTGTGTAAAATGGGTTAGTGGTGCCATGGACCTTGGATGGCTTTTGTGAGTGTGATGGGTTGCACTCTTGTCATGGTGTTGACAGTGCCTCCCAGAAGTCCCTTTGCCACCTCCCAGACTCTAGCTGCTGCTCTGTAAAACCCTCCATGGAGTCGGTTTGCAT